ATGAATAAACGCTTGGAAATTTGTAAAAAGAGAGGGAGTACGGTAATATAAATAGTTATATGCATTAAACTAAGAATTATATGCTACCTCAATTTAATTGAAACTTTTCACTATCTATTGGAAGATGTCATGAATGTAAGTGAACACAACAGTCTATATAGCCACAGATATTTTAAATGAGTGGAAAGTCATCCAATAAGTGTATGAATTATAAGCTTTTCTATGGAAAAGATGATGAAAGTACGAGAAAGGGAATGAAGCGCGGCTGTGTCATCAAAATAAAAGACTTACCGCAATAACTACAAGTTACAAACAAATCAACACAACATAAGATGCCGTATATATCATATACATCCACTGATCACTTATGTCCATTTTATTATTTTATACTAATTAAAGTGTTTGTTCATCTGCGAAGATGTCACTGAATAGATGATAATGATTAACTACATACATGAATTTTAAAAGGGTCTTTTGTTGCTTAATAGATGAAACGATAAGATATTAAAACACATACACACAAAAGTAAAAGGGACAAATGGAAATCTCTGATTGTTATATGCCTTTTGTTGCTGCAGCTGCAAAACATTCAGATTTCCGGTCATTTAACTGATTAGAAATTTTGAAATAAATTTTACAAGTTAACTAATGACAGACAGAATGTTTCGCGTCTCTAACAGAACAAAAAGAGTTGGCAGGAGTGCTATCCTGATCATAGGTATGCCTAAAGCTGTAAAAAAAATTATGAGAAAATTACTGTCAAACTTCATCAAACCCACTGTTCTTATTCTTCGATCAAACTAAAACAGAGATAGTAGCATAAATGTATGCTCGATACAACTTTTTTTCTTTTTAATTTAAGAAACAGGAAAAAGCAAGTTAAGAAACAATGTTTGAAATGATGAAAACAGGAGCATTTTTCAAGTGAAAAGAGAATGGCTCAGATGGTATGCATGCCATTTACTATCAAATGGAAGCAGCAATGAATTCGAGATGACACCTATGCATGCACTTAACCATTCAAAAACCATCACTTCTTGTTTCTTTCTTTTCCAGCTAGAAAAAAAAGAATGCTTTTTTCAATGCAATAGAGTCGAGTCAAACAAAAAATGATAGACAGTTTAGGGTAAGCAAAGAGATAGAAGCGTAAAATCAAAAATATCCGGTAACAAAAATCGTCGTAAAAATTTTATCAATTAAATTTGCTTGCGCTTAAATATTCTTGTAGAATATGTAAGCAAAAATTTCAAATTCTAATCACAGAATCACTTAACTATGAAATTAGCTTAGGTAAATCTTATTGCTGATTACAATGAAAATGGAACGAATGTGTCGTTTAGGGACAACCCACTGAAAGAATAGATGGATGAAAAAAAGACTATTGTGGGTAATGGGTGGGATGAAAATTAAGCGAACTGCTGATAACAACAATTATATCTCAAGGGAGTTGTTTACTTCATAACGTTACTTTTCATCCACCAATAACAAAAAAAAAAAAATGCCATGGAAATCTGTCATCACCGGATCGCTTAAAGCATAGATAGCTGCAGCACTACCAGAACCGCAAAAAGCATCAACAGCAAAAATCAGTGGACCCTGGAGAGTGTGTCAAAAAAGTGCCAACAAAGCGACAGAAGCTTTTATGGATGACTAATCGACAAAAGAGACCCTAACATTCATATCACATAAGCATACCCATCCATCTATTCAATGTTGTAATATCCATTCGTCTTTCCCGTTCTCCCCCTGAAAAAAGTGAAAAAAGGCTACAAAACTCTAAAAATTCTGCACTCAAATATTCCTGATATGGTATTAAATTCAGAAAAATGCATCAGGAAAAGATTGTGAAATTAAGGAAGCACACAGCAATACATGGCACTCTCATTATCGCATGGAAAATATTTTACAATATCTCATTTCTATAGTACAATGAAAACATAATGAGGAAATAATCGAACATTTCTATTACATTTATCAAATTTTACAAAATTATAAAATAATAGCTTACATACTTGACTTCAAACTTAGATTAAAACTGTAAGAATTGCTAGCGTTGTTTAATTGATGAATTAAAAACATTAGTTGCCGGTTTTCAATTTTTAGAAATTAAAAAAAAAGCATAAAAGATGATTCCCATTGCTGGACTAAAAATTAGGTGTCTAAAAAAGATTCCATACCACAATGATCAACCAACATACATTAATGTCCCAACAATCATCAACCGCGTTGGGAAGAGTGAATAATTTCAAAAGTGACAACATCTCCTCCCATCAAAATCATCAAAACCGTCTCATCCCTTACAATGATGCTACCCTGTGCTATCTAGGATTTTCTTCCCCCTCTCTTAGTACCGATTCCTAAAGTTTATAACAATATCCGCTTTTATCGTTGACATCACTAAAACTTAACCTTTTTTCATTACTCAGCAAAGATATGAGAAACATATTTTGCCTAATGCATTTTACATTTGAAATTACAGCAAAATCGACTAAGAAATTCTTTACCTTACAATGATATATCCAAAAATCAATCGATTTATTGCTTTTCTTTATCACAAAACTCGTTAAATTCATTAACGATAAAATGACAATTCTTTAATAAGACATGCGGTGATCCTTCAAGATTATCTGCGGTTTTATCATTCTTCCCCTATCTTTCATCTTCTAACTCGTAGTGATAGCATATATTTATTTCTTATTCACACAGAATGTCATTGCTAACTTCAATCCTCACGTGAAATTTAACTTCCAGCATCCAATATCTCCAAAATCAACTATTTGTTTTTTACATTCACTTCCAATTAACACAGCCCATTTATTTCACTTCACTAGTATTCTTGCGTAGTATGTCGAGGAGGAACGTGAAACACAAATAACTGAATCCAAATTGAGTTAATGCTCCTCAAACTGCTGCAACAGTTCATTTCATGTAATAGAGAGAATTACGTGACTAAAAGATCATAAAATTTCGCTCTTTTCTCGATTGATATATGAAAGTGCAATGATATGATAATGTAAAGCATAGTATTAATCGAAAGTCTATTTTATCTGCGTTCATTAACTCGACGTGCGTTACAGTATCACTTTTTTCTGCAAGAAATTAAAATATAATTTAACTTAACCAAATCCAAATCTTTTGTTACAATCGACAATGGTAGGAATAGAAATAGTATTATTACTCCATTCTAAAAGATAGTTAATAGAAAGATTTAAACCAAATGATTAAAACAGTCAACAGTAAATGAATGCATTCGTGATAATAATTTATTTGATATATTTAACGACCATTTTGTGCAGCAGTACTATTTTCATCTTCTTACAATCACTGATGCTAATTTGGCAACATTCTTTCATATTTTATGCTCTCCGCTTCTGATGAAATCGATATTAATATGATTATTGTCGGAAATTATCCTCCTTTATATGAAGATAATATTTCGTACTTTATTAATTAGTACAAGTGAAACATACTTGATAGTAAGCACGAAACTAAGATAGTGAAACATTAATATGTGTAATGTAGCACTTACAAATTTTTTTTATGTCTTCTTATTTATAGCACAACAGTATCCTAAAGTGATAAAAAGAAATCCTTTAAATAATATTCCCGGAAGACTAACTGCTTATATATTAAACTGAAGAATTTACTAACTGTGCTCGAACATGAAAGAAAAAAAAAAGAATTTGGAGTATAAAATTACAAAAATATCGGTGCATGTTGTCGCACAGACCACAAAAGCAAAAGTTCAACAGCAAAAATGCCAATGAGCGCTTTGGATAAGACGGATTATATTTTGAAGAATAATAAAATTAAACAGCAATCTTAGTTTTGAAATATCTATAGAAAACAGAAAACTATAAGGCAGATTAACGTTCTTTTTGCAATGATGAAGAACACAATATAAAATTGTAATGTAAATTGAAAAACTAAGTTCAAAATTCTCAGGGTATCATACTGCCAAAGATGATATAATCGAGAAATTCGAAAAGAAAATGAATTCCAGTTTATAAAAATATAGGAAATAAATTGTAAGCTCTGACACTTAATTTAAGAATGATTTTTTTTTTCATTTAAAAAACTTTTGATCCATTGATTATTGCTAACGAGGATATGATGATAACTTAATATTAAAAGGTAAACAAAACGTATTCATATTTAAGCCTGAATATAGATAACAAAAGTAAAATAAAAACGTGATGTTAAACATTTATTATGGAATCTTCTTTAAAAAGCAAAAGTTCAAAATAAAAAGGTCATTGAGCGCTTTGGATAAGACAGACTATATCCGGTTATACATAAAGGATAAAAAGATAAAATTAACTGAGAAATCATATATTATTTTGACAGTTAGCTACGAAGTGCATTAAATACGCTTACCTCCTGTATAAATCCTCTCTCAAAATCGTCTATCTTCCAACCAGTACGTCGAATGATTGCCTCAGCTCGTTTTCTTGTCAATGTAGATAATGCACGGTGTAATAAAATTTTGATACGAATCGGCACTGCCTGCATAAAAACACAGAATTTATGCAAAAAAGGGTTTCATATTATTAACATGAATCTATTCAACAACAAGAATTTCCAAAATTGTAATGTAAAAGTAAAATGGAAACAAATTAAAACAAATATTAGATTAAAGTAATTTGACTAAATCATGAATTATAATGGTTTTTAAATATCTTCTGGTATAAAATGAAAACGATAGGCGAACGACTCTGCATGACCTACATAATCATAAGTGATGATGAGGGGCTCATTTTTGAAACTCTATGCTTAAATTTTTTTTTCATAACACCTAATTAAATGAAAACATCAAAAACTCAATTAATGTTATATTAAAATATTAACCAGAAATAAATATAAAAATCGCCTTGTTCTATTTATAGAGCTCTAAGCAAATATTCTATTTAACAATGTTTAAGTAGTCTGAAAAAGAAAGAGATCGAATACCTGAAAACCATAAAGTGATGCGAACGTAATAGCTTCGATAAGATCGGTCTGGTCCACTGTACCATTATTATCAGCATCCACTGCATTTGTGGTATCGCCAGAATTAGCTGCTGCTGATAAGCCACTGCCTAATAAATTACTCACTAAACCATACTGAATCCGTTTTTGAATATTACCTACAACAAACAGATACACAATCAATAATTAATTACATATTTAAAAAGTATTATAACTCTACAAAATTGGAAGTTTCTGTCACACTTTAGAAACGATTTGAAATGCATCCTCAAAGTCACAAAGAAACGAAAAAATCAAAATTTCGAAATAGAAATCAGGGCTCAATAGCTGACATTAGACATTCCTCATCAGACGACAATCAATGCATAAATAAACTGAAACAATCACTTGAATTCGATTGTGCCCATAGATATAAAAAACTTTACTTCAACTAATTTATAAATTCCTATCTATACATAAATCTCGTAAATAGGTTGGAATAAACCATAGAGCTAGCTATAGCTATATGAAAAGGAAAAACATAAAGATCAAATGGATTATTCTAGATTCAACTTTAACACTCCATGACTCCATCAATCCATAGTGATCTTCCTAATTTGTAGAAAACTCCGATTGCTCAACAATAGTTTTGAAACTTTTAAAAAATGAAAAACACCGTATGAGGATAAAACATACCAGAAGTAGTAGGTGGTTGATCAGATTCAGTATCAGTTGTTCCCGTACTACTATTTCTAAACGCTGCATTCAAATGTGGCAGCATTGCCGGTGAAAGCAACATCGAAACGATAATAACAATAATCCGTTCGTTCTTCCAAAGAATTTATCAGCAGTTACTATGTTACCACTTATCTTTTAACTCTTTAGCAATTGGGTAAGATAATGCCAATCAGTATGCAAATTTGCATCATCTGAAATAATGCTATATTTTAATTTAAGAAATTATAAAACAAATAATGAATAAATTGAATTTATAAGTTATTTGAAAGGTACGATAACATCATTATAAGGTAACATTAATGCCATTATATATGCTCCACATGCAATCATATCTATCTAATACAATCATTATGTAAAAGTATTCTTAATTTCGCATCAACAGACCTGTATCAGTTGAAATCGAATAGAAACAAATATACATTATATCCACAGGCACTAATTATTTCATTCATGTCTACGCAAAAATTATGAAATCCGGTTATGTTTAACTGTAATTAATTCACAGAAAGCAATATACTTAATAGAAATAAAAATAGAGCTCTAGTATTTTATATATTAAAGCTCTAGTTTCCTTTTTTTTTCATAATATAAACTACACCTGTTACTTGTGAAAAAACATGAAATATATGGGTAAATTTTATGATTAACAATTAGCAATGCATGAAATACACAGCAGTACCAAACTTTAGTGACAGTGGCGATAGATATTGTGCAGTTGTCATTGTCACATTGCTGTTTGCCTTCCTTCCCCATTTCAAAGGATGATGGTGACGATGTCCATTCCACCCATTTATGCCCTCCGTATGCACATAATTTTCAACTCGCCTACGGTAACTTCCATTCTCTCTCGTTTCCTTCTCGAACTAATACCATCTACACACACACACACACACACACACACACACACA